ATAGAGTTATATATATATAGTTATATATATATAGTTATAGTTATATATATAGTTTTATATATATATAGTTATAGTTTATATATATATATATTGATATATATGAATATATATATATATATATATAATCTGAAATTGATAGAACTAGTTCTGGGAAGTAGATCTTTGCAAAGCTATATTATTATATAGCTGTTCTTTGGAATCATACAACTCTATTAAGCTAACTGAAATTCATTCCCAGATAAGGATAAACAGAAGGAAACCAACTTAAAAACTAAACCAAGGAGGAAAAAACTACCTATAGTATTTTTAAAAAAACTGCTTTATTGTCCTTCATGTATTAGAGCAAGCAGACAAATGAGCCACTAAATTCAGTAAACTATTTCAGAATGGAATTAGATTTAACTTATGGGCAAATTGAGTTTGTAACTAGTGATCAGGCTCAAAGGAACTGATATAAGGCTTTAAAAACATGACTACAGATAAGTTAGGATCATGTGTTCAGTGCCATCATAAAAGCTTGGATGTGATGCTTCATGAGAGTGTTTATTCCTACAGATACCTAAACAATAAGCTATTGTTACAGAAAAGAAACATTATTTACCTTATTTAGTCTAAAAGGCTTGTCTTCAGTATCTTTTTCTTGAAATGCCTTTGCCCAGCTGCCTTTAAAGTAGACAGCATTCACCAAAACCAATTTAGTCATTTCATTGATGGATCCTTCAGATAACAATTCAGGGATTTTACCTTGGTGGAGAAATTTCACTGTTAATTAGCTGTGCAAAGAACCGAGACTTAAGCAATATTACCAGATCAATGAGATTAATCTGAATGCACTTAAATGTACATTTCCCCTCTGCAATTATCTTATAAATATTTTCCTTTTAAAAATCCTGAATTAGCAAAAGCTGCTGTAAGTGACACTGACTGGCCATTTCTGTCATTTGCCTAAGCTGTCACATCTCTAGAATCGATCAATCAATCAATCAGAATAGAGCTGGAAGGGACCCTGGAAGTCTTCTAGTCCAACCCCCTGCTCAAGCAGGAGATCATTTCAGACAAATGACTGTCCAGTCTCTTCTTAAAAACCTCCAGTAATGAAGGACTTACAGCTTCTGCCAGCAAGGTGTTCCATTGGTTAATTGTCCTCACTGTTAGGTAGTTTCTCCTTAGTTCCAGGGTGCTTTTCTCCTTGATTAGTTTCCATTTATTTTTTCTTGTTCTGCCCTCTGGTGGTTTGGTGAATAAGTTGACCTCCTCCTCTTTGTCGCAACCCCTCAAAATAACGAAATACTGCTATAAAAGGACCCCCTAGTCCTTTTCTCCAGACTAGCCAAACCCAAAATCAACCCAATTTAAAATAAAACCCTCTTTTTAATCAATATTAGTCAAAACATTCAGTGTTTTTTAAAATTCTCTTGCTGAGGTAAGGTTAACCCCAACACTCCTGGCCTTCTAGAAGAGTCTTAAAATCTGGCTCTGCTGCCTGGTCTGGAGCCCCAACAGGAGGGTTCTACACTGATTGGATAGAGAGAAGATCCCCATCTTCGTGTCTCCTGTCCTCTTGGTTTTTGGTCTATTTATTCTTTCTAAATTTTAATTACACTGTGTGCACAATTATTAGGCAAGTGAGTATTTGGCCATGTCATCATTTTAATGCAAATTTTCCACCTCCAAGCTGTATAAACTTAACTACTTAGTGGATATAAGCATATCAGGTAATGTGTATTTGTGTAATGAGGGACGGTGTGGCCTAAAGAGATCAAGGTATGTATAATTATTAGGTAGCTTCTTTTCCTCAGGCAAAGTAGGCCAAAAAAGAGATTTAACTGACTCTGAAAAGTCCAAAATTATAAAATGTTTTTCAGAGAGAT